CATGCAGTTGCAGTGTGAGATATTTATTATCAGTCACAAATTCACAACTGCTGATTTTATCGTTATTAATCAGTTCATCCTGAAGACCTGTTGGTCTGCTCTGTTCATTGTTACACTGTTACAATTCGTATCCTCCATTGTTCCTATTCACTGCAGCAGGTCTGCTATCTCAGCCTTTTTTCCTCACCAGAGATCTTTTCTCCGGTGCGCTCCTGCGCATGGAGCACGCAATTACGCAGTGCGTAATTACGCACACAGAAGGCTGAGTGATGAAATGTTTTTTGTGCAAGCAGGTGCTTCATGTTGTGTCTGAGTGGACCCAATGAGGCATAGACTACATCCTGCTTCGCCTTTAACCCACTAGCAATAGCCTTAAAGGGTAAAGCCTATACGAAATAGAACGTTGGTTACGTACTGTAACCCCAGATTCTATGAGTATAGGCGCAGCTCTTTAAGCTCTGGGCCTCACTGGTTCCTAAATGGCTGAAGAAAAAAGCTATTTGGGAGCCGATTACACGGTCTCACCGTAATTTATACGGACCGGGGGTGAGGCCCACACAACAGGTGGGTGTGGACTAAAGTTTTCAGTGCTGTGCTGCGCGCTAAAGGATAAACCCACTAGCGATAGCCTTAAAGGGCTGTGCCTATGCTCATAGAATCTGGGATTACAGTACGTAACCAACTTTCCTTGTTGTTTTTGGAATGCAGTTTATGTTTATATTTTAAGCATTGAATGTGCTGTATGCAACACTGGCACTGAATTAATTTGAGGTGCACTATTATTAAAACTGGTTTAAAAATGAAACTTTTAAAGACAAGTAAATTTGATTGAAATAGACATTTCGTTACAGTTTAAATTGTACAGAAAAAATAGTTAAAAACAGAAATTTATAATGATGGTGCATTGTCAAAACCACTTGGACTACTTGTGATAAGAAATGTGAACTCATGTAGTCATAGCCCTGTTGTTTATACAGGCTAGGTTTTTTTGGAACCATTGGAACTTGGACCTAGAACTCGATTTCTCCCTGACGAGAGAGATGGCGAGCCACGCTTGAGAACCCTTGAACCGAGCTGGACCAGTCTTCTTGTCTCGTGGAGAACAGGCTGCTCTCCCACCACTGCAACGTGTTCAGCAAATGTTTATTTTTTCCTTTTTTCTTACTGTTTTTTGTTACAATTTATATTTTTGTTATTTTTGGGTGTAACTGGGACTTTGAGTACACAATTTCATTCCACCTCATGTATCACATGTGATGTGAATGAAAATAAAGAACCTTGAACCTTGAACTGTGTGGTAGGAGTTGCTGTGACCCACTCTCAATAGACACGGACTCTGACCTGTATGTATGTATGCATGTATATGTATGTATGCATGTATGTGTATGTATGCATGTATGTATATGTATGTATATGTATGTATATATGTATATGTCTAGTTTGGAGTTATAGCCCCCCTAGAAAAAACTCCACCAGCCGCCACTGATATGAAGCGTGTGTGTGTTAATTTTGTTGCTTCTTTGACAATAAAAAGAGTTTATTTTGAAGTTGCATTCAAATTAATATTTTTCAAAATGTTTGTAGTGATATTGTTTTCCACAAAATGTGTCTTTGTCAAGACAATAACTTTTTATACATTTTAAAACTTTTCTAGATGCTTTATTTTACTTTTTTGATGTTACTCCAAGTCCACCAGATTTTCTTCCATTGCATATAACATAAGAAGAGCTTTTTTCCAGTGTAGATGTTCTTGCTGGTGAGTTTTCAAATGGGATGATTGCCTCCTACACAGGTCATACGACTTTTCTCCAGTGTGGATCTGCTGATGGCATTTCAGAATTCCTGAGGTGTTGAATCTCTTGCCACACTGGTCACAGG